AGGTCATGACCTGGGGTCCTGGGATCGAGCCCCATGTCAGGTTCCCTGCTCTGGGGGAAGCCTTCTTCTCCCTCTCCCTCTGCCTGCTACTTTCCCTGCTTGTGTGTTCGATCTCTAATAAATAAATAAAATCTTAACAACAAAAAAGAACCACGACTAAATGCAATGTGGCATATTGAGTTGGATCCTGGAACAGAAGAAAGGGCCCTAGTGGGAGAACTGGTAAAAAACACCAAATAAAGTCAGAGTAATGTCCCAATGTTCATCTTAGTTTTGGTAAATACCATGATTATGTTAACAGCAGAGGAAGCTGGGTGACGTGTATGCAGAAATGTCTGTGTGCTATCTTTGGAACTTTCCTGTAAACTTAAAATTATTCCAAAATAAAAAGTTTACTTCAAAAAAAAATGAACTCATTCTCTATTGTTTTGTAATCTGTGTTTATTCACTAAATAGTTTATCTTGAAATTCTTGTCTTAAAATGATGTTTCATGATCACATATGATTCCATGAATGAATCATCATAGACTATCTCCCCTTTGTTGGAAATTTAGGTTGTTTCCAATTCTTACTGTTATAAAAAATGCTGCACATACTTAGTCATTTCCTAAGGGTACACTAACAAAGTAGAATCCCTGAGCCAGAGCTGCCAGCTAGGAAGCATACTGAGCATCTGGACTGTCAATGTCCTCAAGCCCCTGATGTACGTGAACTTGAATCCTGACAGGCACACCAAGATAGAGGCACTGCTCTCATTCCTTGATTATGGGGCAATTTTCAGAGGTTTTTGAAGGATGAGCCAATAAATTCTCACCAACGATTTTCTCAGACTAATGCAGCAACTGCCTGGTGTCATGTCCAACTCAAGCGCACACGAATCTAGCCCATCCCATCATGCTTTTCTGGGCTCGCTCCCTTCCATTCTGGCCTTCAGGAGGGCAGTTCCTGCAGGCAATCACCGTAGCAGTCTGTGGAGTAAGAGCAGGTACTGCCAGTCCAAGGTGTGATTTCAACAACAGCTCTCATTTCCATCTTCAACCACAGAATGTCCTCCTCTCGACGACCTTTGGGCATTGTGGGGGCCATGTCCATCATGACCCGACAAGCCGCTACATCAGGACAGCCTGCTTCCTGCCAGCCTGGAGTAATATCAGCAACCGTATGGAGGAAACTTGGATTTCCACCTCCCCAACCCAGAGGCACATTTGGCTACTCAGGAGACACTCCAGTGAAGAATAACCTGTTCTGGTTTGGGGCAGTATTCCTGGGGGGATGGAGGTGGCACTGGGGATCAGGGATAAAGATACACAGTCTGAAGCACCTGGTAGCCATGGCAGGGTCCTTCTTTTCCTTGGCAAACAGCCATAAAGAAAGAGCCTTTCTTCCGAAAGGCAAAAAGCATCGCTTATTGGGCTATTTTTCAATTCGTGTGGACCGGGCCTCTCATAGATGGGTGCTATGATCCTCCTTTTATAGATGAGTTTGTTGAAGCTTGGAGGTTAGGCAGCTTCCCAAGGTGCACAGTGAGTTATGTCAGTGTCTAGATCTAACCACAGGTCATCTCTGTCACCAGAGAACCCGTGCCCACATCACCAGGCACACGATGGAACACAAAGCTGATGATAAAACCGAAGAGACTTCCTTCTTTTCGGTCCCACCACAGCAAAGGGGCACCCAACTCAAGGTCAAAGCACTGAAGCCGTTTGTTTGGGAGAGGTGGGAAACATGGCTTAAAGTGGTCATCAGCTCTATGTACACATCCTCAATCTCTGGCTTTTCTGGGTTGAGTGGAAAAACTTCCTTTCTGTTGTCCTTATGCTTCATTTGTAAAACACAGTTTCCAAGCAAATGTAGCTGTCCCAAGCACCCTAGGGGCAGTACGTCCTCCTGGAATGCCGCCCAGTATGGTTGGAGCCACCCCAGGCCCACCTCATCTTCCTCCTTCCCCCAATTATCTCTGCAGCCTCCCCTCCCCTACCATGTAAGCAGCCTTTTCTTTACTCACTTCTTTCCCAGAATAGACTCAAAGCAGTTTAGAAAGACTTGAGACATGTCCAAGCACATTAACGCTAAACAAAACCACTGAGATTGGTTGAGGTGGGTGAGAGTTTTATTAAGAAACCCCTGATGGAGGAAAGCATCCCGTCGAAAACAAAGGGTCTCCTCACCACCAGGGCAGAAAGAAAAACAGCAGAAAATGAAGCATTTCTTACCTAGTTGAAGAATGCAGACCAACTCAACAGGAAGCAAAATGATCTCCTAAGCTCTAAGCTTAGAGAATTCTGTCCCCAGAGTCTTTCTCTAAGGGATCCCCTGCAATGTAATGATTTGCTCCATGGCAATTTTACCCTAAGAGTGTAGATCTGTTCAGCCTGAGGGTTTCCTGCACAGGACCTGGTCTTGCCCCTGCCATTTGACACCTTGTCTTCCCACTCACCCCTACTCTCTGCTGGGGGCTCCTCATCTCAACTGGGCACCTGAAAGGGGTCTTCTGTGAGAGAAGCTCATCATCACATTGCCCTGCGTAACTCTGAACACAGAACTGCCATGTTCCAGAGATGTCAGCAGGACAGTAGTCCCTTGGGATCATGAATCATGCAATGCCATTAGCTGTGTGGGACTGCGGTCCAAATGGAATGGCTGCAAAGTGGAGCCAGTATAGACACCCTCCTGTTGCCATCCTTTCCAGAACATACTGGTGGGGAAAACAGACACCTCTCTCCCCTAATAACTTGCTCCTCTGGTCTTCTGGAACAGGAGTGGTTCCTAGGGTTTTGGGAATCCAGTACATTGGAGCTTCAGCAATCACAGCAGGGAAGCAAAGGGAAGAGGAAAGAGAAAACGGTCTTACCTGAAGCAGTGCTCCCCACTCAGGTCTGTTCACCATGCCAGCCAAGCCTCCTCGACTTTTTTCTCCTTTTTTCTTCTGATCCATGGCTCGTCGACTCCTCTGTCTCATGAGTGCCTTGAGTCTTTCCCCTCTCCCAGCAAAGTGTCAACACAATGGTGCAGCAGTGAGAGGCTGGGGTGTGGAGCCACAGCTGGGCTCACTCTCTGCTTCTGCTGTTCCTAGATGTATAGACCTCAAAGTGCACACACATCACATAGAGGTAAGAACAGCACTCACTCCCACAGGCTTACTGAGAAGAGTGAGAGAGTACATGCAGAACCTAGTAGACAGTAGGCATTAAATATATGTTAAATTAGCAGTTATTAGGAAAATATGAAAATACGTTATTCTGCATACAATTCTAGAGGCCCATGGACTTATGGGGAATCCTTAGGTTAAGAGCCTTTGGCCTGGTCCTTGAGAGTCAGCAAGACAACAGCTGTCACCAATGCTTACGTTTTCTCTCTGAACGCCATTAGCACATCCTGGGCGGCTGCAGTGTGCTGGGAATCTGGGTCACCGGTGCTAGCAGCACACCTGAGGGGCAGGTGTCCCTTCTGTTCTGATGAGGAGATAGTTCTCCCGAGGTCTCACGATGGAGGAGGTGCAGCAGAAATCTGTCTTCTGACTCACTGAGCTGTCCTCCTAAGGACACCGATGCTGAGGCTCCCGAAGGACCAAGGTTGCTCTTCATTCCCTTTTGTCTGCAATGCTCTGTGCCCACAAGACAGCCTGAGGACCCATTCCCTGGGTCCTCAGGCTGGCAGTGAGCGGCCACGAACAAGAAGGCATCAGAGGGGTCTGTCTTGCTTTAGAGCTGTTGCTAAATCACTTCAGCAACAAGGTCAAGGGACAGACTCTGGCATCAGAGACTGCTTTCTGACTCGGCCTCTTCTGTGTGACCTCGCTGCTCCAGGTCTTGACTGCCTCATCTATACAACAGGAGAGGGACAGCCCTGACTGCCCAGATGCCCCATGAGGGCGGGACCAGGTTGTGGCCACGAAGCCCGAGCACAGTACCTGGCCTGGTGTCGATGCTCCAGGCACAGGCGCAGTTCCAATTGTAGCTTCCAGATGAGGAGACCACGTTGAAAGACGTGGACAAGAGGCGGCAATCCTGGTCTTCTCTCAGGCCATTCTTCTCAACCATACCATGTGGCGGCCTCCTGGGCTCAGTCCACTAATCTTTCCCCCAGTTTGTTGCATGATGATCAAGGAAGGTAAGAATATTTTCATGGGGCATTTAAATGGCTCAGGGAACAAAAAGATCAGAGCGAGTCAATTGTATCGGCACCTGAAATGACTGTAGAGGTGGGGTTGTGGGGAAGCAGAGGAAGAAGCTGGCTCAAGAAGAGGGATTTAATAAGCTCATGACCACTCTGGATCTCTCCAGAAAAAGAAAGCCCAAAGGATGGCAGTGCTTCCAGCCCAGCTTCCTCTGGTTTCTGGAACAGCAGTCATTTCTCAGAAACTGCACTGGCAGAGGTAGCCTTTCTGAAAAGCCTCAGAGCTTCAGCTTGGCACTTTCACTGAGCAAGAAATGGATTTGCAAAGAAGCAACCAGGAGTGTTAAAGAGACAGCTGAAGAGACAGCCAAAAATCTGGCTAGTGATGAGAAGCACTGGCTTTCTAGGCTGTGGACAGCTGTCCACTCAACAATTATCCAGCCCGGCATGAAGCAGATATTTTTATATATATTTGGATCCAACTAACATTTATCAAGTGTCTGTTTTGTGCCAGGAGCCAAGCACAAAGCTTCTTTTTATAAACTTCATTTAATGCCAACAAGTCTGAGAAGGTGGCATCACACTCCTCTTTTTTCAGACAAGTTAACAGGAGCAGCGTAAATGATTGGCCAGAATTCGTTGCACATCCTCCGCTCCAAGCACAGCGTTGTCTCCACTAAGCAGAGCTGCCTCGTCCTCGGGTGCAAGAAAAGCCTGCCTGCATCTGAGCTGGGGCTCAAGAGGGTGCGGCTCATCTTATGAGCACACATGGGACCACCCTGTTCAGTAACTTCTAGTGACAAGAGGGGCTTCCAAGCCAGATTAATTCAATGCCATTTTTTTTTCTAGCCCAGATCCCCTCAAAAAAATGCCACAACAGGGGATACAAATTTTTAACATACTTTATTGATTTAGGGGCCAAACAAGGCAGCATTTGGTCGGTTAAGAAAGGCACCTCATTGAAAATAATACATCACAGTGCTGACGAGTGATCCCACTCACAGGATTTGAGGATGGAAAGGACAATCTTTGGATGATGTTGCTTAGGACACTTGCTCTTATTAACAAGGGTCCCTTCCCACATCGTGGATGGAAGATGGCAAGAGTGCAGGGATGCTGAGTGGCTGCTGAGAACTGACCCATGAGAACAGGTGGACCAGTACATAATGGTGCATCATTAAGGAGGGAAACCAGCCCCACTTAGCTGAGCCACTGCCTCCATGAACACACCCCTCCCCCTCCAATTTCTTTCCAATGTGGAGACAATCTTTTGATCTCATGGTGCAGGGAACTAGGGCCAGGAGTTGAACTCTCCCTTTTCCAAGCTTTAAGAAGGTCAGGACAACAGTTTGATTTCCTGCATTCTTAGGCTGAAAATCCATGAGACTCTGAGATAAAAACTGAGGTCTTAGGGCATTTGGCTTTAAAAAATATTGTCACCAATCCACAGTGAATGAAACTTGGATCCTTTAGAAACAATACTACACCTCCTTATTTCTATTTACAGCCTCTAATCAGTTTTTTTTTTTAATTAATTTCCCCCTTCCTCTGTACTTTTTCAGACTCCTCTATTATGTATAAAAGAGATGGCCTCACTACCACATTGCTGTTCTTTGTTACTCCTTTTGGATCCTCACCACTCCTCCCTCTCCATCCTCACCGTGACCACCCCTCCTCTCTGCCCAGCACCTAAGAGCAGGGATCACGCCGCGGGGTGATGAGCAGTGGTGCGGTCTCGCCTGGCCTTCTGTTACTAGGCTGAAATAGAGAGGAAACAAGAGAGAACAAAACAGGTTTTTTAAAAACCAAGTAAATATCAGGGAAGGCTGGCATGCATGCCCCAGAAACCAAATGCATCAGACACTGGACATTGCTCCGTCAGGACAAAGAGCTCTCATGCCTGCCTGAGGTTAAGGCTCTGTAATCAAACGAAGCAAAAATCTAAATCCTAACCACTCCCCAGAGGGCATATGCATCCCACATGATCTAGTTTTACCAGCAGCCTGAATAGGCACATGTGAATGTATATGGATGGGTGACAAATATTTGAGCAAGGATCATGCACATACAAGTAGCAAACATTCAAGGACTGCAACTTTGAGGCTGAATGCCTCCAACTGTCCCTAGTGAAAGGGAGGTGACTCTAGGATCTGTGAAGCCACCTTCACCCAGAGAAGCGTTCCAGACCTCTGCAGACACAGCTCATAGTTTTGGTTTCGCTCCTCTTCCTTGAAGTCATGTGCTTCCCAGAAATGCCCCACACCAGACTGGGTTTCCGTTCAGAATGGGTGGAGTTAGTTTACAGGCAGGGAAACAAGGCAGAGCAGAGCTAGCAGACACTCACATGAACCAGACCAAAAGGAAGAAAGATGGCCACATACCCATGCCTAGCTTCCAGGTAGACAGGGGACAAACCCTCTGATAGTTCCACAGACAGCAGGAGACTCAGGTCAGACGGGGACTGGGACTTTAGAGTCCATTGCAGCAAGTCAGCAGATTATGCTGGGGCAGGCAGCATTATTTACTGGGCCTGCCACTGTTTTTTCCAGAGGCCACCGTTTTGCGGCCTCTCCCAACAGTCTTATTAATTCATCTGTTTGCCACAAATCAAACAGCACAGCATGGACCTCAGGAAATGCTTAATAGCTGGGAAGCTGAAGTTAGGAATAAAAGTTGGTTACTGTCATAGGTGATCTTATTTTTGGGTCATCTATTCTTGGGAAGTCTGTGGCTACCACCATAAATAAGGGGTAAAGGACTGGATCTGGAGGGGAGAGAGTCTAGTTTAAAAGAGACACACCCGATTGGGGTTTCATATCCCAGAGAAACTGGGTTTGAGTCAACTCTAATGAAAATGAGGCTAAAAATAGATCACCTCCAAATCACTGTTTTGTTCATACTTGGAAACTGAGGCAAACATTAAAAATGAAAACAAATAAACCTACCCTGGTCTCTTTGGGAAGTGGACTGGCTGCTCTCAGATGACCAGCCTGGATGTTCAGAAGACAGTCTGAATTCAAAAGGACCGTCTACTTGGGTTTAATTCTTTGGCAACAATTTAGTTTTCAAACACACGTCCCAAAAGATCCCTACTTTACAGCACTGTGATGCAGATCACAAAAAATACTACAACTAGCCTGTATCTTTCTATGGTGATACCCTCTCCCAGTCATTTCTGAAATTTGTAACATAAACGCCTTTTTCTTTCCACTTAGGGAAAGGATTAATGATTCCCATCCACACACTGACTCATGTGGCTTTTCACTGTAGGGTAGAAAACAAGTGGAATTCCCTACCACAGCCTGCTGTCAGGAACTTTGGCCCTGCTTGACTTTATATGATCCTGGACTTCTACTCAGCTGCTGGTGATGGAATAAATACCATGAGGTTTTAGAACTGCAGTACCCAGCAGATACAGAAACCCAGATGGAGTTAGGTTATCTTGGCAAAAATAAAAAATAAAATTCAAGAATACGGCTAAAGAAGTATAGCAGTATAGCTGGTATAGCAACCTTGCCTGTACCTTAGAAAGAAGGAAGACCATACATGTACTTAAATCAACACACACACATACACACAGAGATGAGATGAGAGTTGCACACACACTGAAGATACATCAAGCAAGTGCTTTTTTAATCAGTACATCAGATGATATTCTTGCTGGCCTGAGGAAGCTTCCCTCCCCCCGCTCTGCAAATCCCACCCACTCCCTCAACAGGCACAGGAAGAAAGAAATTCCTTTTTGGACCCAACATTAGATAAACATAACCAAGTCTTTACATGTGGCTTTGGAGAAGGCTGCTAGGATGCTGGCAAACACGACGTCGGGGGTCTGGGTGGCGTCAATGACAGAGTGGATCCCTCGTTTCCTGTAGTAGTCCACCAGCGGGGTGGTCTGAGTGTGGTAGGCCTCCAGGCGGATTTTTAAGGCCTTCTCATTATCATCTGACCGTCGGACCAAGGGCTCCCCAGTGATCTGAGAACAGGAAGAGGGCAGTTAAAGCCTGGGACTGTTAGCAAGGTTTCCTTATCTGATGCCAGATGCAGATTTGCAATGCTGTCTGCTCCCAAAGTCCATCAGAAGGAAAGACAAGACTATCTAGATCCCTTCCACTAAAGAACTATAAAGAACTTTGCTACTCCTGGGAAGCTGGTCCCAAGAACAGACCAACCAGTCCAGGGAAGCCGGGGAGCCTGAGGGAGCAAGCGTGAGGAAGGGGGTCTGTGGGAGGAAGATGGGCAAAGCCCTTCTCTCACAGCTTCTGCTCAGGCTGTTCGGTTTCCAAGATGAACACTTCTAGCAACAGAAACAAGAAAGACAGAGGCCCTGGAGATCAGGAGAATACATCAAAATCAGAGATGGATTTGCCATTGTAACCTTAGTCACCAAAGTATTTGGTGTTTTCACTAGGGTGTTGGCCATCAGCGTTCTGAAAGTGGCAAGTAAAGTGAGAAAGAAGTCTGAATGGCAGCATTCCCAAACGTGGGAAATGTGACTAAGCCAACGCGAGGACTTTGAAACCTGTATGACTTGACAAGCTTGTCTTAAGTGACACAGACAAACCCGAGAAATTCTTACTATTGCCTGCATGTTCTAAAACAGATGAAGTAGGGCAGCCCGGGTGGCTCAGCGGTTTGGCGCCACCTTCAGCACCTTCAGCCCAGGGCATGATTCTGGAGACCTGGGATTGAGTCCCACGTCAGGCTCCCTGCATGGAGCCTGCTTCTCCCTCTGCCTGTGTTTCTGCCTCTGTCTCTCTCTCTCGAATAAATAAAAATATTAAAAAAAAAAAAAAAAAACAGACGAAATAGACTAGTTATGGCAAATGTTACAGTGAACATGTACAAGACCCTCCCTTATACATCTGCATGCAATTGAAGACTGTCCTAAAAACTTGGCAACATTAATCTAGCCCAAGGAATCTGAATCTTCAGGACACGGCAGAGTCACTAAAGAGGGGACATTCTTCTGAAGCAGGACCAGTCAACACAGTTCTCTTCATCCCTGTCCTCTCAGCTTGGCTCTGCTTCTGGGCTTCCAAGCAGCCTTCTCCTGAGATTAGTCAACCATTTAAGTCACCATGATGCCACAGAGGGGCTGCTCTGGATGAAAGACAGGTACAAACCGGGCACTGTGAAGTAGCTGGTGCCGGTGCCTACCTCAAAGAAAAACAAGAAACCACCTAGAGAGGTGCTTTCTAGACAGCTGAGCCACAGCCCAGGTGATTAACTAGGACGTGATATTTCTCATGATTAAGTTAATAATGTTGGCAGGAATAAAGGGAAGGTGGAAAGAACAAAGAACAAAAGGGAAGAAAGGAAAAAGGGAAGGAAGAAAAGGAAATTTCAAGTCCTGGGTTTACATACATCATCTTTCATGGGTTCCTTTGGAGGGTTGAACTCCTCGTGGTAGGAACGGCCACTCAGAGGGTGAATCAGCCTGAAAGACAGCAAATAAACAAGAGTCAGGTTGCCTGCAAGTATCCCTGCACCTCAGGGGTCTCCAAGTTGACAAGCAGTGACAGGGGAGCTGGACGTGAGGACTTCCACCCAGCACAGAACCCAGCTATAGGTGTCTTTTGCTTGAGAAAATAACTGGGCTTCCAAAAGGGCTTATACCAGAGGGAGTACGTTTTCTATTTTGACCCAATGTGATAATGAGTGTCTGGCTGCCGCAGCTCGCATAAGTACCTAATTCAAGAACTCAGTGCTGGCCTCACACAGCCATTCATTCTATTCACCCACTCGCTCAACAAACGTTTACTAAGTGCTTAGTCGATTCAGGCCTCACGCTGGATCTGGGGGCTACACAGCAATAAGTCAAGATCCCTGATCACAAGCAGTGATTACTCTAGTGGGAGAGACAAACGTGGAAAACAACTAAAACAAATGTGATCATCCTTTAATAGAGATTTGTGCAACATGTTATGGGGGACAGAGGGCAGAGAAACTAACCCTATTTTCTATCCTAGATTGGTTACAAAACCCAGAGAGGTACAACAGAAAAATATGTCCTGCAGATGCAAATGCTACCAGACAGGGCAGCACTCCTCTGCGATCACATAGATAAAAGGCCACCTAAGCATAGGAGAGCAAAGCAATATGAACACTGGCACCAGGAGAAATGACTTACTCAACAAGTCATGAAGTGCCCAAGAATTAAGCATTTACCTGGTGCTGAAAATGTAGCTAGGTACCACATAGTGCTATACCTCCTTGGGCTGCAAACCTGAGATCCTGACCAGGAGTGGCTACACCATGGAAGCCCAGAAACCTAAGAAGGGAAGACAGCAGGCCAAATACTGCTCAGCAGCCAGAGTCTGTCTGGTTTCCAAATCTGTGCCAACCCAGGCTTTTTTATTTAACTAATGTCTGCTTTCCTCATGAAGGTCTGTTAAACTGGGGCTTCCCAACATTTTTCACCTCTTGGTATGTGTGGAAATATTTATGCAGTACTTGTGCACTTGCTCTGCTGGAATAACCCAGGCTTACCCAGCTGCTCTGGTGGCTCAGGGGATCAGTATCTCAGCACATCAGTTGGGAAAGTACAGGTCAGACTACCAAAGCCTGAGCAGGGGTGCCTGGGTCGCTCAGTCAGTTGAGCATCTGGCTCTTGGTTTCAGCTCAGGTCATGATCTCATGATCGTGAGATCGAGCCCCTTATTGGACTCCATGCTCGGTGCAGAGTCTGTTTGAGATTCTCTCTTTCTCTCCCTCTGTTCTCTCTCTCTCAACAGCACACTTTTGAGGGGCCAAGTGGTCCCTTTATAGCATTGGTGGGAGCAAGGTGATAGCTGAGTAAAATAAGCTATACTGAGTGGCCTGTGCCTGTTACATGACAGGTTAGGATCTCTTTTATTTGAGTTGCTGGAGAGGTTCCTCTGGTGCCTCCATTGGGGAATGGCACCCACCAGGAGACTCAGGGAGAGGCTGTTAGGCTCAGCTACACCTTTCCCTTTGTGAAGGGCTGCGAGCATGAGACATGGACCATGATTCTTCACCTTCTGGAGAGCACAAGGCACACAGCAGCCAGGCTGCAGCAGACATGACTCTTTCCTTTCCACATCCCTCTATCTCTTGCTTCCTGATTCCCTCAGCCCTCCAGTCACATACAATGTACTGCTTCTTCCCCACTCACAGACTCCGTTTTAAGAGGAATGCAAAGCTCATTTCCTAGAAAGGAAATTAAAGAAAGTCCAAGATCCAAGTTTTCAAAGTGGGATTGGTCTCAGTACCAACCAAAATAGCTGTAAGAGACACTAAGCCTGACCTAGCAGTGGAGGTAGTGATGTAGGGGCATCAAGCCTGGGATTCTAGAGCCACTGCTGTTGTTTTGAGCATGACACTCAGATGCCTGTTGTCTCATCCACAAAGTGGGGATGGCTTGAGACATTAGGACAGTCAACTGGTAGGATAATTAGGATATCAGAGAGCCAACACTGAAAAAGTTAAAACCAACAACCACCAACCATACATATTCAAGACATAAAGTAATGACTCATAATATCGTCAGAAATGAGATCAGAGCTAATCAAAAAGATATTTACAGTGGGGTTTTATCATGTCAGATTTAAGTACAATCCATATTAAACCAACTAGTTCCTGCCTCTTTTTCTTCCAACCATTAGTCTAGTGGACTAGGAGACGAAAAGTGGGCTCTTGGTGCTAGTACTATCACTGATCCATAGAGTGAACCTGAAAAAAACAGCTTCACCAGTTTGATGTGCCCTGTTTTCTCCTCTGCAAGGGAGGAGGGTCACACTACACCACTCACTCTCACACCCAGAGACTGAGTCTTCTGCATCCTCTACAACAATCCTGTGGTTTGCTCTTCAGAATCTCTCTGTTCCCCACCAGCCAATCCCAGTTAAAAGCCTCCACAGCTCCACATGGGGATCACAATCAGGCTCCTAGGTGGGTTCTTATCTGTTTCTCCTTTCCCCTAATTTAGCCTGTATGCCAGGGCCAAACTAATGTTCTTAGAATGTTTCTGCCATTAACACTTCATGGCTTACGAACATCCCAGAACTCCTGACACGTCTACCCTCTTTACCTTGGCAAACCTCCCCCAGCCAAGCTCCCATCTGACCGTCTACCACCCAGTCCCCCAGAACACTCCTCTGACTCTGGACATTCTGCCACCAGCCCCAGCTAGAGGCCTTCTCCCAGCCTATACTCATTGCCAACTCTAACCCCTTGCTGGAGAGCCTCCCTGAAATCCTCTCCATCCAGGAAGGCCATGTTTGACATTATACCTCTCCTAGGCAGCCTTCCTTTCTTGCTCCTAGGCTCGCTCCTTAGGACTACCAACTGCGCTAACCAGCCCAGGTTTCTTGTATGGCCTATAGACTTTCTGAGGTCAGAGATGGGCATATTGCTTTTCTGTACCCTCTCCTGGTCCCCTGCCTGAGTCTAGTGCTGTGCTGGGCACTGAGGAACATGGGCTGATTGAAGCAAAGGCCCCCAGGGTCAACTAGTACAGTTAACATCTGCTTTGTACATCAGGGACCCCAGCCCTGTGCCTTCCCACCAATCTTACCACTTCTTGGCCTGCCTCAACTTTGTCTACTCTGTCAGTGGGGACACAAAAATAAAACCCAAAAGTTCCTGCATTGAAGGTGCCTATGAAATACCTGGAAACATGAAACCTGGACATTTGGACAAAAAATTAATATAAGGTGGATCCCACAGTATCCAATATAGCCTCTCAGGAAAATACCTGTAACACTCATTGCTGTCTGTTTACATGTCTACCTTCCCCCTTAAAGAGACAGACTGCAGACCCATGGAAAAAATGTGCAACCTCAAGAAGAAATCAATGTAATTAAATTTACAACAAGAAAACATTTTCCCTCTAATTAAATCCAAAAGTCTACAGGTACTATTATGATCACGGCATCAATTTAACAGCAGACAACTAGAAAAAAACACAACTGTACCACAATAAGGGGACGAGTAAGTAAATGATGGTTCGTCTACTGTGAAATACAGTGCAGCAATTAAAAATAATAGTCATGGATGTCTGGTTCAAGCTGGTAGGCTGACCACCTTCCCGGACTCCATTAAAATGACTAAGGGATATAAAAGCCATAGCCCACAATAAAGATGAGAATGCGAGGTCTATAAGAGGCTGAGAGCTTCCCACATATTTCTGGAAGGCACAAAGCAGATGGCAGAGTGGACAGTGAAATAGGGTAGAGGTAGCCTAAAGCAGTGGACCTTTCAGAGCAAACTCAATCAGAAACAAAAGCATTTCTGTGTTCAGTGGTGACTACTATAGAAAAACAAGTACTTCTAAGATTTTATTTATTTATTTACTTAAAATAAACTCTACACGCAGCGTGGGGCTCCAGCCTACAATCCTGAGATCAAGAATTCCATGTTTCGCTGAGCCAGCCAGGTGCTTAAAGAAACACTTACTTTATTTTTTTTTAAAGCTTTATTTACTTGAAAGAGAGTAAGAGTGAGAGTGAAGGAGCACACACGAGCATGTCCTGAGGTGCGGGCGAAGGGTAGAGGAAGAGGAAGAGGGAGAAAGACTCTGAAGCAGACTCCGAGCTGAGCACGGGGCCCAACACAGGGCTCGATCTCACAACCCTGATCACAACCTGAGCCAAAATCAAGAGTTGGACACTTAATCAACTTAGCCACCCAGCGGCCCTGAAACAAGCACTGGAAAATGAAACATGCAACAAAGCAATAGTGGGTTTTGCAGAGGTGGCTGTACCATGAGCAAAATTTTCCTCCATTTTCTAAACTTTGTGTAGGTGGTCATATTATTTTCACAACTAATACAAAAGGAACAGCAAGTTATGGAACTCCAAGTGAAACCAGATTTCAGGGCACTGAAATAGAGATAACCACATAAGGAATGTAATCTTTCTGAAGTCCCTACTGTAAGTGAGGCTCTGAACTAGGAACTGCATGGTATCCAAAATGTTGCACAGTTCCTTGAAGCAGGTCTTATTAACCCCACTCTACAGAGGAGGAACTGACCTTGGAGAGGCTAAGAAACTTGCCTAGGGTCAGAGTTAAAAGGTGACAGGGCAGAGATGCTGACTGACTTCAAATCTCTTGCTCTTCTTTCCACACATCCCCATCCCATGTCACCACTTCAGTGGATGTCACCAAACCAGATAAACCCATGTTCATATGGTACTCAGCTGCTCGCCTGGGATTGGGCAAGGGCAGCTCTGCTGGTCTGATAAAGCTCTGAGGTCGCAGGACCAGAAGGGACAGAGGACAAATACCTTCCTGTGATTCTTCGGATCAGCAGAGAGTCTGGGATGCTGAATTCAATCACAGAGTCAAGCTTCTCTTTCCTCTTCTCCATGAGGTCATCAAGCTGTAAGAGAGTATGTGGCTCACCTAAGCTACCAGAACTTGATCAGAGCCATTTCCCTGAAAGGAATTTAGATATAAAGGTCCAAGAGTTCATTTCCACGCATCGGTGAAACAAATGGAGGCACCCACCATTTCTGCCTGCCTCACAGTCCGAGGGAAGCCATCTAGAAGAAAACCATTCTTGCATTGAGGGGTCTCCAAATTCTTCTCAATGAGCTCCACTACCATTTCATCACTCACCTGGAAGTGAAGGAACAAGACAGCCTTGGAATTAAATCTGTTAATTAGTTGACAGCCCAACTCCAGGGCCACAAATTTGTGTCTGTATAACCTGATTAACAGCATGTTTTCCTGACCCCAAAGAAGCAAATATCAGAGCAAATGTGGAATGGCTCCACCTTCCAAAGAAAATTCAGTTTCATGATTTTTGTGTTTGCCATATATGTGTTCTCTTCCCTTGAGATTCTCTTGTGTCCCAACAATGTGGCTGAGGGAAAAGGATCCACTGCCTGTTACTTGGACAGGAGGCTTCCATGTCTTAGATACTGAGGTCCTCTCCAGCCATTAGTTAGAATCCTTTTCATCAGATAACAGCTCATCAGCAAGCAGCTGTCAAGACAAGGAAGGTGATGGCTTCTCTCTGAGAGATCACTGAGAAGGGCTCCACGGGAGAATAGGGGTTGACCAAAATGCAGAAAGGCACCAATTTTCCCTGTTTCACAATTTGCATTAGGCCAACAATAAAGTGGCCCAGGCCACCCTGGACGTGAGGTAAGAGACAAGGTCATCGAATTGGCAAGACTGGGTCAGAACCAAGGAAATGAGGCACCAGCCCAACATACCTCTTAACCTCTCTCAAAGCCCCAATGAGGACCCAACCCAGCTTTCCAAAACTGGTTTTCCTCCTGAGCTTTCATAGAAACAGCAGTTCCCTACCAGTACAACAGTGAAGGCTGCTAACATCTTATCTCCTAGGACTGGCTGTGAACTTGGGGACAAAGTACAAGCTCTGTGACGAAGTAAAGGCTGGAGATAAGCAATCTCATGGCCATATCCCAATTTTTTTCTCAGCACAAGATCTTCTGCCAAGACCCAAAGTCCAAAATATCTAGTTTTCTGGTTTAGCTCGAGGTCTCACAAACATGAAGGGAAAACTAGAGGTAAAGGGGCAGGTGGGTGGGCAGGGGTACCACTGATGTAGCTACGGAATCTCAAACCCTGCCAGGAGGTAACCTGGAGATAAAGGCAGAGCCCAGTGCCTTCCCCAACCAATACTCTAAAAGAGAAGATCAGAGGGCCAAGCACAAAATGACTTCTGAAAGAGATTCCCAGATGATAAATATACCTTTTTATCCTCCCCTTCCCCCCAAATAATAAATCTGATCATCTTCATGTATGAACATAAAATAAGGAAAATGTTAAGGAAGAAAGTGGTTTGTAACTTTTTAAGTACTTATGGTGTGTCTTTTTGCTCATCAATATTCTATATTATACATTGTTATAATTATAAACAATTATAACCATTGTTTCTGTAGTTTAATTAAAATTATTTCTTGGTGTTCTAGCTTACTAAAATGCCTGAAGGTGATTCTCAGAGGCCAAGTCCCAGAATAACTCAGTTACAACTAAAATCTGGCACTAACCAAAGAAGATTTAGTAGTTAATAGAACATAATCATCCAATTAGATCAATTGGACTAATAATGTAAGAAAATGCTATTATATCCCCCAAATAGGAGAAATTACTTTTGTCAATTGCCAGTAACTCCACTGTTAGAGATACAGAACACAGAGCCACAAAAATAGAGTTAAAACACCCTGTGGTTTCCTGCATTCTCTCTTGGATAATCCTTGAGTTCTAGCCCAGGGATGGCAGTTTCATTTTTGGCTCTAAAAATTGGGCATGTTACAAAATGCATCAGCACAAAGGAACCTCAAGTATATTGTGAATAGAGGCACCTACCTGCATGCGACTATTAAACTTAGGGTCGTGAGTTCTAGCCCCACATTGGAAGTGGAGCCTACTTGAAATAAAATAAAATAATTTTTTTTAAAAAAAGGAATACTGTAAATAAAATAAATGCCACACATTCAGAACGAACCACATAACCTACTACTCTAGAGGTTCATGTAATGTGTAAGTTTGTTAGAACATCCCTCAGCACAGGGCTGTCCGACAGAATTTTCTACAATAATGGAAAGATTCTAAACCTGTGCTGGCTAACAAATTCTTGAAATGTGGCAAGTGAGACTGAGTGACTGATTCTCAAGTAAATTAAATCGGAAGTAATTTCTATGGTTCCATGTGGCCAGGGGCTACCAAATAAGGCAGTGCCGATAGAGACTCAGGAATACCCACATTCACTGGTACCACCAAACCTACCAATTTCCCAGCATCCATAGTGGCCTTCAGCTTTTTCCCCAGTTCTGAGCCAGAAGCCACCATGGCCCTCAGCATGTCCCCCGTAGCCAAATGGCAGACACAGAAGTTTTCAGCCAATTTGGGCGCCTGTGGAGGGGAAGAGGAAAATCAAGACAGTTAACACTGAATGCCCGGGCATCAGACGGCCTGGGTGTGAACCTGGCCCTCGCACTCACTGGCTGTGTGAACTTCAGCAAGTGCCAATTTCCTTACCTGTAATAGGGATTAAAGTAACTTATATTATTTTTAAAAATATTTTATTTATTTATTCATGAGAGACATAGAGAGGCAGAGACATAGGCAGAGGGAGAAGCAGGTTCCCTGCAGGGACTCCAATGCAGGACTTGATCCCTGGATCCTGAGATCATGCCCTGAGCCAAAGGCAGATGCTCAACCACTGAGCCACCCAGGCATCCCTCTTTTTTTTTTTTTTTTAAAGATTTTATTTATTTATTTGAGAGAGAGAACGCATACACAGGTGGACAGAGCAGCAGGCAGAGGGAGAAACGAGCCAGCCCTATGCAGGGCTCAATCATAGGACCCCAAGATCATGACCTGAGCCAAAGGCAGACTCAACTGACTGAGCCATCCAGATGCCTCTAAAGTACCTTATGTTCTAATGTAGAATGATTAGCGGGTTACAGTAAGCATTATTATGACAAAATACATATAAAGCACTGAAAACCGCACCTAGCACACAGGAAGTGGTCATAAATATTCGCTATTATCACTACTTTCACTTGACACACACTAGTGACACAAAAGCCTCAGTTTATAAACGGGAAGAGTCAAAATACCAGTATTGGTACTTCACATCGTCGCTGCAAAGTTTATTTTTATTCATTTAAAATTTTTATTTTTAAGTAATCTCTACACCCAGCCTAGGGCTCAAACTTATGACCCTGAGATCAAGAGTCGTATACTGTACTGAGCCGGCCAGGAGCCCTGGCTCCTGTGAAGTTTAAATGAGTTCATGTATATAAAGCACTCAGCATGATGCCTGACATATAATGTGTTGAATGAGTATTTCCCAAAGAATGAATGTGTCTGTCAAGTCCTGTGGCCACTGGCATGGGAGATAGCTGGGGCCAGGTGAAGAATTCTGGTTTCCCCCAGGCACACCTGGTTCTTCCCCCTATCCTCTCAGAGGCTCAGTTTCCTTGCCTGTTTATTTTTTTATTTTTATTTTTTAAAGGTTTCTTTTTTTTTAATTTTTATTTATTTATGATAGTCACAGAGAGAGAGAGAGAGAGAGAGGCAGAGACATAGGCAGAGGGAGAAGCAGGCTCCGGGATGCCCAACGTGGGATTCGATCCCGGGTCTCCAGGATTGCGCCCTGGGCCAAAGGCAGGCACTAAACCGCTGCGCCACCCAGGGATCCTTCCTTGCCTGTTTAAAATGAAGGCAAAAAGGCTCCATCTTAGAAAGTAGCTCTGAGGATCAGACAGGATACATAAAAAGAGCATTTGGCTAACAGTATATACTTACTTAGTTTTAGGAGGCAGTATAGCCTTTTGGTTAACACATGGGCTTCAGAGTCAAAATTCCTGGGTTCCAGACACCGATGACTAGATATGTGACTTGAGAAAAATCGTATAACCTTACCATGTTTCAAATTTCCTCTAAGTCAAATGGAAACAGTAACAGTACCTCCATCACTGGGTTGATAGGATCAAATGGAGTTGACATATATACACAGGGACAGGCGCATAGTAAATATTCTATGAACATCAGCTGTACTATAACCCCTGCCCTAATTCCATGTTCATTCATAGAGAAAGAAAAAACTGATGCCTCTTCCAAGAACTGTGCTGGGAGCCAGAAAGAGACACGGATCCTGTCCTCTACAGGTTCCCAGTTTGGTGGACAAAATAGCAGAATAAAGACTAGAAGAGGAAGAAACTCTGGACAGCTCAACAGTGGTTTTGTAGTGGCAAAACCCCTGGAAGAGTTCACAAGGAACAGAATCAGTTTAAAAAGCTTAGCATCCTGGTTCAATTGTTTCATAAAATAAGTAGGGTTGGTTGGATTTTTATTCAAACCAGTGCATTGGGAGTTTTCTTAGTTGCACACAGAAAAGCAAAAATAGATTTAACTCATTGTAGCAAATTCTAGTTTGTGATTCATGGACTGATTCAGTTCAAGCAAAGACCTCACTCAACAGCAAAATGGAATTTAGATGAAGGAGGCATTAAAAACTGCACTTTGGAAAACCAATGAAGGCTGGACTCTCTGGCAGTGGAAAACCTTCTGGTCTTCCAGGCTGTCATGGTGGCCACATACCCAAAGAACTGAGCTTTTCTGTCAGTCTTTCTCCTTGGTTGTTGAAGCTGACTTGGGTGAAAATTTTGGAGATTAGGATTATTCAAGGTGGAAGACTGATCAAAACACCAGAGAGCTGTTACCACAGAACCTAACTTTCTATTTTTTATCACCCCCGAATTGCAGGATTCTTTTATGCTGCTCCTAATGATTGGATTCCACAGCTGGGTGTAAGAACACTCCACTAGGGGGGTGCCTGGGTGGCTCAGCCAGTTAAGTGTCTGCCTTCGGCTGAGGTCATGATCCAGGGTCCTGGGACTGAGCCCAAGTCAGGCTTCCTGCTCAATGAGGAGTCTGCTTCTAGCCTCTCACTCTCCCTCTGTGTTCTCTCTTTCTCTTCTCAATAAATAAAATTTAAAAAAAAAAAAAAAGAACATTTCAGTAGGGAAGGCATGGCAAAGCAGAATAACTCCTTCATTCTCTACTGGCTGCATGGAAGTCAATGTGGTGGGTTGTAAAGAGCATGGACTTTGGAGTCCCACAGATTTACACAGGGATCCTGGCTAAGGCTTAACAGCTTTGTGACCCTGGGCCAGTTACTTCACTTCTCAGCATCTGTTTCCTCACCAAAAGGGGATGTCTACTTCATTGGGCTATTGTAAGGATAAAATAAAATAAGTACCCAAAACATTAAGACACACAGTAGGCAATTAATTAAGACCTCCTTCCATGGTCTTTCTCTTTTGCATTACAAACTACAGAAGCAGCCTGATGAAATAACTTTATTATACTCCCCTCATATTTCTTTTTTTTTTTTTTTTTAATTTATGATAGTCACAGAGAGAGAGAGAGAGAGAGGCAGAGACACAGGCAGAGGGAGAAGCAGGCTCCATGCACCGGGAGCCCGATGTGGGATTCGATCCTGGGTCTCCAGGATCGTGCCCTGGGCCAAAGGCAGGCGCCAAACCGCTGCGCCACCCAGGGATCCCTCCCCTCATATTTCAAGCTTATATTTAGACCATTGCTTCTACTCCAAGTCACCTGGGGGTGCTGTAAAATGCAGATTCTGATCCCACAGGTTAGGGCCTGAGCAACTGCATTTTTAACAAGCTTGCAGGCCTGGCTGTGCTGTTGGCCCCTGGACCGTACTCTTGGTGCTGAGGCCCTGAGTCACTTGGGTCTCACTGGCCATGGACCAGGAAATAGGCTCATCACTTCTGTGAGAACCCTATGGGATAGGGGGCAGGCTTTGGCGAGGCATAGGTAAGAATGGCTAAAACCACTAGAGAGGCAGCATGGTGGGTTTAATGTTCTCAGTCTTCAGTATATTATCACCATCCTCTGGGGCACACTAAAAATACAAAGCCAGGCCTTGCCCTTAAAGTTTATGACTGAGTGCTTGTCAGGCAGCACCCTGGGATTCTGATATACAGTTTGTGAAGTCTTGGGGTAGCGCTGCAATATTGGCTTTTTGGTGGTACAGATCTGGGCTGGAAACTGGGACCTACAATTTACTCACTGTATCTCCCTGAACAAGTTATGCAGCCTTCTTAAGGCCTCAGTGTCTTCATCACTGGAGAACAGAAAATAATGTCTATTTTCAGAGTTTTATTTTGGGGATTTAATAAAACTATGTATACAAAAGCATTCAGCATAGTGCCTGGCATCTAGAGAAATAAAGGGAAACTATTAGGTGTTGAAATTTGATTTAATCTCGTGTTTTCTCACCTTGACTTTATCTCTCTGCCTCCACTCTTTCCCACTCTCATGTCCCATGTTCCTATATATGTAGCAGGAATCATCTCCTAAAATACTGTTGGGTGCACCCCCTACCCCACCCCCAAAGCGTGTGCACACTCCCCACCCCCCACATTCAGAAGCCTTCCATGTGTCCTCAGTGTAATAGGGGAGAAGTCCAAATACCTAAGTCTAGCATTCAGAGTCCTCCACAATAAACTTCTTACACTTCCCAAGCTCTTTAAATTTACTTCTATAAGTCCACTATCTGGATGCTTCGCACCACTGCAAACAGTGGCTCTATGTATGATTCCCAAACACATAAGCATCTCTGAGGACCTTGGCTCCTCTCCCTTCCCTCCGATGGTCTAAACTCAACCTTTCACAGTAAGCAAATTCTAAGCATATCTCTCCCCAAATATCCCTTCTTTCTCTGATAAGGATTCATTTGACTTGGAGTGTTTGCAACATGCCAAGCAATTTTACCATGCACTGTTTTACTGTATTTAGTATGCATAATATAAAACAAATCCATGAGTAGGAACTATTTTTATCTGTATTTTATAAATGAAATTCAGAGGCTAAATTAAATTGCCCAAGATCACATAGCTAGTAGTAACAGCAGAGCTGGCAAGCCCTAGTTCTTATCCATGACATTATATGGCCTTTTAAAAAAACAACCCGTAGAGCCTTAGTGGCTGTCCTTGGAGAAATGTGTGTGTGTGTGTGTGTGTGTGTGTGTGTGTGTGTGTCTGGAAGAGAACACAAGGACTTCACCAAGCTGACAATATTCTGTTTCTTGATATGGATAGAAGCTACACAAATGCAATTGTGAAAATTCACATTGTGAATCACATTGTGAAAATTCATCAAGCTGCTCACTTATGATATTTGTACCTTTCTCCATGTATATTATACCTCAGTAAAAAGCTTTTTAGGGATGCCTGGGTAGCTGAGTGGTTGAGCATCTACCCTTTGGCTCAGGTCATGATCCAGGGGTCCTGGGATTGAGTCCCACATCAGGCTCCCCACAGGGAGCCTGCTTCTTCCTCTGCCTAATGTCTCTGCCTCTCTCTGTGCGTCTCTCATGAATAAATAAAATCTTAAAAAAAAAAAGTTTTTTCAAAAGCACAGGAACCCATGTTTAAATGTCAGCTCTGCCTCTTGCCATAAAACCTTAGGCCAGTGATTTTTTTGAGACAATTTTCTCACCTATAAATTGGGGATAATATTGCCAACATTACTGGCTGGGCGTGAAGAATGGAATACTCTTGACGAATTATAGTTCTTTTTTTTTTACTTTTTTTTGTTTTATTTATTTATGATAGGCACACAGTGAGAGAGAGAGAGGCAGAGACACAGGCAGAGGGAGAAGCAGGCTCCATGCACCGGGAGCCTGACGTGGGATTCGATCCAGGTCTCCAGGATCGCGCCCTGGGCCAAAGGCAGGTGCCAAACCGCTGCGCCACCCAGGGATCCCCGAATTATAGTTCTTATTCTAACCCCTAGCATTTGTCAGAGTCACTCACCTGACACTTCCCACATGGTACTTTGCACTGGTATGTACTATGTGCATGCATATTCATTTCTGCCTCTACACCTAGACTAGTATCACTGGTCTAAGATGGTGACTCTGCTCAGGAATCAGTCATGAGTTCAAATTCCGCCTTTGTTATTTCCTTATGTATATCCAGGGGCAAGATATAGCTTCTGGGCCTCAGTTTATCAGTAAAAAGGCATGGATAATAGGATCCACCTCTTAGGGTTGTAGGGTTAAATCAGATGACATGTAAAATTTTCGACTAGGGGCCTGTTGCATAACTAAGCAAAGGGTGATTGTTATATTATACCCTCTTGAGGGCAACAGCTGCTCTCTGCATGTCTAACACCAAAACTATAAAACACAACATGCATAGGGTAGGGGAAAAATCTCTTTATTTATTATTTTTAAAAGATTTTATTTATTTATTCATGAGAGACACACACACAGAGAAAAGGCAGAAGCACAGGCAGAGGGAGAAGCAGGCTCCATGCAGGGAGCCCGACGTCACGCCCTGGGCTGAAGGTGGGCGCTAAACCACTGAGCCACCGGACAGCTAAGGCTGCCCAGAAAAATCTAACCCAGAGTAGGAGATAGCAACAGAAAGAGGAGGGGGCTTTGGAGCCATTCAGATGCAGGATCTGCCAATTACTTGCTATGTAAACTAGAGAACAGGCCCTTTGAACTTCAATTTCTTCAACTGTAAAAAGGGGAAGAGTATGGGACTCACAAAAGTGTTTGTCACTGCATTGACACAGCTAATGGAGGCTGACCTGCAAGATGAAGAACTGGTATAAGCTGGACACATGGAAAAAACTGAACAGGGCTGGCAGAGAAAATAGGAAACACAACTTGGTCATGATATCTGGGAGCTGCTTCAAAATAACCTGTGAAGGGAGAGTGGATGGGGAAGGAATGGCCACCAGCTAATGGTTGTGAGGGCTAGATAATGGGTACACAGAGATCAGTTTTCTTTTGTATTCAAACTTGGGGCATCTGGGTGGTTCAGTCAGTTAAACCAATTCTTGATTTTGGCTCAGGGCGATCTCAGAGTGGTGAGACTGAGCCTCATGTTGGGCTCTGTACTAGGCATGGAACCCATATAAGATTCTCTCTGGGCAGCCCTGGTGGCGCAGCCTGGGGTGTGATCCTGGAGACCCGGGATCGAGTCCCACATCAGGCTCCCTGCATGGAGCCTGCTTCTCCCTCTGCCTCTCTCTCTGTCTCTATGAATAAATAAATAAAATCTTTAAAAAAAAAAAAAAAGATTCTCTCTCTCCCTCTGCTTCCCTCCCCCCCACTGCCCCCACTCTCAAGTGCTCTCTCTCTCTCTCTCTAAAAAAAAACAAAACAAAAACCACAAACTCTTCATAAAAAAGTCAGGGGGTGCCTGGGTGGTTCAGTTGGTTAAGCGTCTGCCTTTGGCTCAGGTTGTGATCCTAGGATCCTGGTATCCAGCCCAAGTTAGGCTCCCTGCTCAGCGGGGAGTCTGCTTCTGCTTCTCCCTCTGCGCCGCCCCCCTTTGTGCTGTCTCACTTGCTCCCTCTCTCAAAATAAATAAAATCTTTAAAAAAATAATAGGTAGTGGTGCCTGGCTGGTTCAGTCAGTGGAGCTGCGACTCTAGATCTTTGAGTTCAAGCCCCATGTTGGGAGTGGAACCTAGTTAACTAAAAAGTAAACAAATATTTTTTTTAAAAAAGGGACACTTGGTGGCTCAGCAATTTAGCACCTGCCTTCGGCCCCGGGCGTGATCCTGGAGTCCCAGGATTGAGTCCCAAGTCAGGCTCCCTGCATGGAGCCTGCTTCTCCCTCTGCCTGTGTCTCTGCCTCTCTCTCTGTCTTTCTCATGAATAAATAAATAAAATCTTAAAAAAAAAAAAGTTAGGATGTGTTTGCAGATTAATTGCTGCTGGAAGCTGCTGCTTTCCAACCTTTGATTAATGAACACTGCTGTTTTTTTTCAACTCCACAAAACTACAACCACCAGTATTCCTACTGTCCCACTTAATGAAAAGGTACATATAAGTTAAAAGACTTGTGTTTCCTCAACTCCCAATTACATCTCCTCCACTTCCACAAAGTGTTTTCTGACCAACACCCACCATACATACACCCTTATAAATCAGCTCATAAGTATAATTTCCTTCAAAACTTCCTGAATACATCACCCTTTACACTGAAATATATCCGAGTTGGGGGGAGGAGAAATGTGTAAGATGAAAAGAAGTCAATAATTACTGAACACCTATGATGTGCCAGGTTGTCATCTAGGTACATAGGGTTACTTTACACATATATATGACACAATCTTCCAATATCCTTGTCAGCTTTTGGCCTACACGAGTAAGGACCTTATCAGTTTTGTTCACTTCTCTATCTCCAGTGTTCGGTACTCATGAAATGTTGAATAAGTAAGGTAGGTATTATCACCATTTTTCAAGCGAAGACATTAAGGCTTAGAAGTTACACAGCTCGCTAGACCATAAAGCCCTGCCTCAGCACTGGGACAGATTGTTCATTATACAACTAATGGAATTATTAACTTCCGTATGAACTAAGAAAAAATAATTGACGCATCTGAGCTACTCTGTTTATACTCAGTCACTCACAGCAAAAGTCCGCAGAGTCTGGGTTTAAACATTCCTAGGCTGCAGTTTCCCTAATAACAGAGAGTGGTAGCAACAAGAGACTTCAAAGTTACTGAGGTCAAGTGTATTAGGTGAGTTCCAAGGATGAATCAGCTCCAGCTATAGAGAGAAAAGGGAAAGTGGTCGTTCTTGACCTAGTGCCCAGAGCCAAAAAGCAATTATCACAGGAATGAGCTGAATCTCCCAGACTTCCCTTGTCATCATCCACATTATTCTGTGTCCTTCATCCATTTCCAACCCCATCAAGTCCAAGTGATGTGCTGGGTGCCAGAGGGGTCCCAAGAATGAGTAAGACAAGATCTTTTCCAGAGCTAGAAAAGTGGGCGGGCACAAAGCAGTCCCTAAAACACCGTTCACTTAGGCACTCAGACTTGCAAGAATTCCCTCTTTATTTACTTATTTAAAGATTTTATTTATTTACTTGACACACACACACACACAGGGAAAGCACAAGCAGAGAGTGGCTGGCAGAAGGAGAGGGGGAAGCAAACTCCCCACTGAGCAGGGAGCCCAATGCAAGATTCGATCCCAGGACCCCAGAATCATGACCTAAGCCCAAGGCAGATGCTCAACAGACTGAGCCACCCAGGTGTCCCCGAATTCCCTCTTTAGAACCTAACAACCAACAAGAACCTGTGACCCGGGAGGCAATGCCAAACCTAATGCAGGAAGGGTACACTGATAACCCAAACCTATGGGCCTCCATTTTCAAAATGAGATCATAGATCCCAACTCTGATCTATGGGTCCATTACAGCACAGAACCAAGTGAGACCCCAAGGTCTGCTAAGGTAGAAGGTAACTTTAGACTCCAAACTCCTGGAGCCCCATGGCTCCTGAGGTTCCAGACTGGATGAAGTCAATTTCGCTGTCTTCAAAAAGCAACTGACCTCTCTGGGCCTGTTTCCTCACCTGTATGTTGAGGTACCCTCTCCCATTCCCCCAACTTAACTGGCTCAGGCAGGTCATGCCTCATTTCTCTTAGTACTTCTCTCATGAGCACATGTCAGCTCCCCCCGCCCCACGTGCTGGAGATGCTCCTCCACCTTCAGTCATTAATCCTAAGAAGCAAGGTTGCCCTACCCTGAATGCCTGGCACATAGCCCTGAACAATCCACTTCCACATTGCAGGGAATCTGGGGTCCCTGGCTCCACTCAGGCTGTAATCTAGATGCCTCAACCGAAGGCTCACCCCACCGCTCAAACCCTCTCAGTTTTTAACCCCTTAAGGGATCTAAATCAGTCCTCCCATTCCCCCCAACACGACACCTCAAACCTAGATCCCTCCAGAACTCTAATGCTACCTCAGGCTTCCCCCGACCTCCAATCGCACCCTCTCGCAAACGCCTTACCAGAATCCCAGACGCCGGCCAGGACCCCCACACCCTCCCCAGGCCTGAGCCCACGGTCCCGCTCCAGGGCGATCGGGACCTCCGGCCGTCCTGACCTTGGGATTCCACAGGCTCCGCCGCCGAGCCCGGCCCCGCAGCTCACCTGGGTACCCTTGCCCGCCCCGGGAGGCCCCAGCAGCACAGCCCGGATGCCTTTAGGACTCTCTGGGGCCGGTTCCGGCGCGGGGACGTTGGGAGCCATGGCCGCCAAGCCTCTCGCCGCTCAACCGGGCCAGCGCACACACACACCTCGCAGGTCCAGCGCTTCCAGCCTAGCGCGCCGCGCACGCCACGCACGGCCCGCTCGCCGCTAACACTGGTCCGCCGCCACGTCCGTCAAGTCGCTCCCCCCGCCCCCGAGCGCGACGGACACTTCAACCTACCAACCACGAGGCCAGGCTGCGGAAGGCTGCTTCTTATTGGATAGAATCTGTACGGGAGTAAGGAAGGGGCGGGCCATCATGGACCAAGCGGGGTTGGGGCTCGCGGCGGGTGTGCGGAGTGGGCGGGAAAAAGTGAAGCAAGACTGGAGACCCGGCTGGGAGTTCCAGGTTGGCTTCGACAGTTAATGACACCGGCAAGTCCGGTGAAGTCCTCTGAAATTGCCCCTGGGAGTGCAAATGAGGGAAAAATCAGTCTTAGAAGACAAATTGATAATATGTATCAAATATCCTTTGGCCCAACAACTGCACTTTAAGGAATTCAAGACATAATCCAAGAAAGATATGGTGAAGGTTTGAGTAACAAAGATATTAATTGTAGCATTTACAACAGCCAAAAAAGCCTCAAACAAGCCAACCAAAGAACAAAACAAAACAAAAACAAAGGCAATATCCCAAATGTTCAACAAGAGATTGGTTAAACAGATCGCAGCAAATTTGTATCCGGAATCCCTGCCCCCTCCCCCCCCATTGTATAAAATATTTAAACACACGGGGAAAATGTTCACCAAACAGGATACAAAATTGCAGTTACAACAAAATCTCAATTTTGACTTTACAAGTGGTGATTTGACTTTACACAGTGATTACAGGAGCCTCTCCCCTTCTTTGTGCATGTTTACATTGTCTAAAAGTTCTATAGTAAGTTCTGTAATAAACAGCTACTACTTTTATAATAAGAAAACAACCGTTTTTAAGTCAGGGAAAAGTAGTTTTTCTCAAAAGAGATGACCTTCTTTTGGAGAGGAAAAGTATTTCTACAGCTTTTTGGTGTGTGAGAGTTTCATCCACACCCCCTATGAAGCAATCCCTGAGGCCCTGGCAAGACCAGCCCCAAGGGCCCTCTTGGACTTTTAGTCAGAAACAATTATGTTTCCTCATAGGCCCTTTGCAACTCATTTTCTACATCCTGGTAGTGAATTTTATTTCCCTTCAGTGTGGTCTCTTCTATTTTACCTCACAAAAGAAATGAACATTTATTCCCCCTCTGCATGCTGGACTGCTTACAAGGTGCCTGGCCTTAAAAGAGGCAGAGATTGTTAAAACCATTTTTCAGGAAAATATGCAGTGGTTAGCCCAGAGCCACATAGTGGCAGGGTCACAATTAAGACTGCGGAGGATGAGCTAGTGTCCCAGAGAGCCTGTCAGGATTTGTAGGGGTGAGGGTGAGGGTGGGGAACAAGAACATCTTTTCTGGTGGAAGCCTCTATGTAGCCAAAATTCACTTTACTCCGAGAAAGCCAGAGTTTATCAAGGTGTGCTGTGCCCAAGGCACCAGGCAAGGGACGTAGGAGCAGTTTTCCCTTTCTGCCACTAATCCCTACAGTGATTTCTACCAGGCATGGATCCCTCAGGAAGGAAAGGAACTAAGACTACACATAAATACACACAGTGTAAAGTTTATTTATTCAAATTTTAATAATTTCCTAATCTTTGGAAGCAGACTAAAGACCATAAGGGGGATATCGACAGCCCTGGGGAAGGAAGGATTACTTCATTCATTTACTCAACTTAATTTGTATTTATAACTGCTACCATCTACCTAGTATTGGATATTGCATGCCAGCCCTGTGCTAAACACTTTATATGCATTGCCTCATTTAATTTGCACAACAGACTATATGTGTAATTACTTAATTATCTGCATTTTTTTAAATAGAGGAGATTAAGGCACAGAGAGATGAGCCTGTGGCTGAGCAGATCTGAGCTCAGGTCTGTCTGTCTGGTGTCCAGCATTACCAGGTAACAAGACAGGCAGTTTCTGCAGACATGGACTCACGGTGCAGCTGGGTTCCAGCAAGAGGGATCTTGGAGGTGAAAGAGATGGACCTTGAAAGAGACAAAGGATTTGACTTTGGGTTGGGGGACATTTCAGGCGGAGAGAACATTCAGAGCAAACCATCAGAGGAGAGAAAGAGAATGGAATGTGTTGTAGATTTTATCCAGTGGGCTTTTGGGAATTGGGAAGTTTCTTAGAACCATTATGATCAGATTCACATTTTAATAGGATCACTTGTAGGGCAGACTGGAGAGGAAAGAAAGAGAGGAATACAAGACAACCAAAAAAATTTCTGTTCGTGTTTTGTGGTAGGCAGAACAATCCGCCTCCCCTGAAGATGTTCGTGTCCTAATCCCTGAACCTTGTGACCATGTTACCCTTCCATGGCAAAAGGGACTTTGCAGATGTGATTAAGTTAAGGATTTTGAGATGGAGAGATTATCCTGGATTATCTGGATGGACCCAATATAATCACAAAGATCCTCATAAGGATAAGAGGAAGGCAGGAGAGCCAGAGAAGGCAAGATAACATAAGCAGAGGTCAGAGTGGTGTGATTGTTGACTGAGGACCACAAGTCAAAGAATGATCACAGCCTCTGAAGCTGGAAACGCAAGGAAAGACTTTCCTCTAGGGCCTCCAGAAGAAACACACCTGCTGACACCTTCGTGTTAGCCCCATAAGACCCATTTCCAACATCTGACCTCCTGAATTGTAGGATAATAAATTTGTGTTCTGGGCAGCCCAGGTGGCTCAGCGGTTTAGTGCTGCCTTCAGCCCAGGGCCTGATCCTCGAGTCCCGGGATTGGGTCCCACATCAGGCTGCCTGCATGGAGCTTGCTTCTCCCTCTGCCTGTGTCTCTGCCTCTCTCTCTCACTCTCTCTCTCTCTGCCTCTCATGAATAAATAATAAATCTTTAAAAATAAATAAATAAATTTGTGTTCTAAACCATCCAATTTGTAGTAACATTACGGCAGCAATGGGAAACATATATGCTCTTTGGGTGCAAGCAGCAGAAACAGAATCTGGCTACATCAATCAAGGAAGGAATCCACTGAAAGGATATAGTTGTATACAGGCAGCCTGAGGAATGATAGGAGCCAGGGCTGCTTTGGGTAATCTAGATATCAGGAATAAATGGACAAGGCTGAAGGGAATATTTATTCCTCCTCTGGCTTTTTCCATAAAGAGAGACCTCTTTTAGAATAATACTCTTGTTTCTTTCCTCTCCAGAGGAGGAGGAGGAGTGTCTTATCTGATTGCTGAATTTAGGGAGAATGAACAAAGCTCAGTTCAGCTCTCCCCTCCTCTTTCTCTTTCAGATCTATCTGCCTATGTGAACCACATTTTTTTGCTCTCTTCCTCCATATTCTAAATTTCCCAGGATCTGGCCTTCTCAGGGATGATTATTATTTTCCAGTACTGCCTGAGACTGGGTGGAAAAGATTGTTTTTGGGGGTTCAGTATTAGTAATTCCATGTGTGTGTCAGACCTAAAGGTGCATCTCTGATAGCTTTGTCAGTAATAAAGGGGATATTTTGACTTCCTTCTGTCCTACATCTGTAGCTACCTGTCATTGGGTTCCAAACTGGGATGAGGCTACCCTCCAACACAATAAATGATTTCTCATGATACTATGATTGGAATGACTCAGCTTGACTGTTCCCTGTATCTGTGTCATTCTACTCAAGATTCAAAGTTCTGGCTTGGTTTGGATTTCATGTTCACCCCTTGGGAAAGGTGGAGAATATCTTGATGAATACTTCCCCCAAGACTGCGGAGATGGGAGTAGTTCCCCAAAAGCAAATGATGACAGTTTCTGAAATAAGAGGGAGGAGCCACGGGCATGCAGAAATGACAGATGTCCACAGCAGGGCATATTGCAAAAATCCAGGAGAAAGTTAGTGAGGGACTGGCCTATGAAAGTAGAATTAATGGGAACTGACACCAGACCATATGCGGGTAATAATGTCCGTGTCTTGGGGCCAGGACTTGGGGGAGTGTGGGTCATTACTATTCATCTCATTCATTCCCTGATTCATTCAACATATAGTTAGTGGTCACATATTAAGTACCCAGCACTGTGCTTGGGGCCAGGAATCTGGTGCTGAACAAGGAGGGCAGGTGATCCACACTCCTAGAACTTGTAGTCAAGGGAGTAACAAAATTCAAGTAAGGTGGCCATTTCAGTACAGGGATGAGGGCAATGCTGGAGAAGGTATAGGCTTCAGTGGAAATACAATGGAGGGGCACCTGTTCCAGATTTGAGGGGAAGTGACTTTTAAGAGACATGAAACCTAGAGGATGAGGAGAGTTTGCCTGGAGAAGAGGAAGAGTACAAAGGCAGCTGCATGTGTCAAGTTCTGGAGGCAAGAACAGGTGGCAAATTGAGGAGAACTGTGGTACTCAGCAGAAGAACGCCTCTCCTATGCTGAAGTCCTATACTGCAAAGGGCTTGAGGGGCAGGGGACAGCCACATCTCCTCCTATTGAAGCTGAAAGTATAGAATCTTCCCAGCCTTTCTGGCAACTGGGGAGTGAGCACATGACACGACACATGAAAGTCCTTTCCCAGGACTTTGACCTTTGAGAGAGAGAGGCAACGTGGCAGGGCTGTTCTTGGAGGGGACCTGGGAGTCTTGCAGCAGTGGGTGACCAGTGGCCAGTAGTGGCTGTCAACCAGGCTTTTTCTGCAGTATGTTTTTGCCCGTGTTCTTAGCCTAAGTGCTTTGGGTTCCCATCCATGTTTGGAGCTCATGAGCCCCACAAGTTATTCAACACAACCCTTCATTCTTTAGGTTAGCCACCAAACAGATGGTATAGGGTTGAGAGAGGGTCAATTACAACTTGAGAGGGTGAGGGAAGAAGCAAGAAGGTGGGGGACAGGGCTTTCCTTTTCAGTAAGAAGAGAGATGCCTTCAGAGGAAAAGGTCCCTTCCTGCCTGCCTTTAGATGTTGAAGGAGGATTCAGTGCTTAATCTAACAGCCATCCTGGGGTTGTGAGGGAAGAGCTAAGAGATTCAGAGAGAAGCTGACCCAGAGGTGAACATCACTGT